AGCTCAATACAAATACTATATTTCTTAAAGTCTTTCATCTATAGTGATATTATGTGACAGCTGAAAAGAAGTAATACTTTACCTTCTGTATATATTTGAATATATATGCATATAGAGGATTACCACTGCTAGGTAGGTACCACAAAAGGCATCATGGATCGTAGAAACGTCATGCATTCCGTTTGGCCAGCTTACTGCTCGAAAGGGTCGTTTCGCACACGAGGTGCACAGTGACCCTTTGGTCTCCAACCGTCTTCTGCTTGATGTATTCCCGAGGGAATCGATTAATACGCGCGATTGCGGATGCAACGAGCCGCTTCCAAGACCTCGCATGGTCAAACGACAGGATTTCCACACCCTTTCAGCCTGAGCGAGCTAGTATTATTTGCAGACATGAAATTATCAAAAGAGGATAGGAATATAATGAGATAATATATATGTATGATAATATAGGTTTGCTGAAACCTGATATTATTACATTATTACGCATTTTGTTGAGAATACGATGCATTAATTAACAAGCAGAATAACTATGTTAAAGCTACCAATTTGAGATAATTATTTGCATTCTCTTAAACGACATCGGCCATTAAAACCATTAGTGCATTCGGTAGCGTAATAGGTAACGGGACACTGAGTACGTCATGGATAAATCATTAATTGACGCAATTATGGACATAGTTACCAGAATACCGATTCATTTCTAGATTTACTAGAGAGTAAATCTCCTTACATTCCCGCGGACATCGCAACAGTACAAGGCAATCGCGTCCTACGTGCAATAGAAGTTATTACGTTGCTTCTGCCGTGCAATTGCAACTTCGAAGACGCCAACATCTCTGTAACTCGAACTAATACCTCCTACGACTTCAGGCGGAAATTGTGAGCAGCGCGAGCTACCGTGCGTTCATTACCGTTCGTACGAAAATCTAATCTCGAGATAATTCACGAATAAAACATTTCCGCAGTTTACAAAGCTATTCATGTTTGAACGATACAGTCAATACAATTTCTAAACCCTTTTCAATTATCTCGTGATGTAAAAAGCCAAATGTAAATCGTGTTTGAAAAAAATGGAAAATCATCATTAAATTTAAATTGTTTAAAAATATTAAAACGGCATCAGAAATTAAACAATAAATATACTTTTTTAGGTAAATTAAAGAAATTATTGTCTAGTGTTTTAATTCTTCATTTTAACATGAATATAATAAGCCATTAAAGTAAACTGCGGTTTTGCGGTCAAGTATGTTTGCGGCTATTATTATAGCCTGCGTTATTCTACGAATATGTGTGAGATATGGGTACATGAGACTATTATCTTACACGTCCCTGTACATGCAACAGGATTCCAAATGGTCAACATTGTACTATTCTACTAGGTCTAAATAATGTATAATTACGGATTTGAACCATACAACTCCATAAAAATCAAACTCTATTGCCCCTTTTCACTTGTTACGTTACGTTAATATGACAATAAATGAGTAAAAATAAATCGATACGCGAAATTTCAATATTGATTGTTCAATTTACATAAAAAAATATTTGAATAAAATCACCTAACAATACACTTTGCAAACAGATTTTACGGATTGCCGATTAACTGAATCCAATACTGTTTACTGATGTACAGGAAAAAATATAGCCTTCGTAATAAAGCGCGACAAGTTATTTTGGTCTGAACAAATAAGCTATGGATCCATCGGACGCATCTCGTTCGTATGCAATGACCGGTGCAAACAATCTACCGCTTACGGATGACTATCACGTAAACATGTCGAGCAGAGCCCAATGAATTTGAACTATCGTCGATGCAAAAGTCTGCTTTGGTACAATTTGCTTCTATCACGTCCCGTAAGCTTCCACGAGTTCCATGAGAATGAGACGCGAATGTCTCTTGCGCGTAGCTCCTGCCTGGATTATCACGATTACATCGTTCAACAGAATTTATGCTGCGATGTTGAATTTACCCATTAACGTCACGGGAATCCCTCATAGCAATAAAACATATTTCATTGTGAAAGACGACATCGCATAAAATACTCTGCGGCATATATCTTCCGTGCCTTCTTACTATCAATTTTACGTAGATTGACAAAGCTATGTCGCTTCTATGAATAATATATATAGATTAATACTTAACAAAGAATAAGTCTATAAGATCCACAACTTTACTTTAAGAGGCTCTAAGTCGTAAAGCCGTAAGAAATTGACCAATCACAGTTGATTATTTTTTTTATATTCAACTGTGATTGGTCAATTTCTTAAGGCTTTACGGCTTACGGCCTCTTAAAGCAAGGTTGTGAACTTAGGCTAATGAAATATAAGCTCGTACATGCGAATGTCAAAGTTATTGAAAAAGTAACACCGAAGTGATTATACATTCTAAATAAATTTTGCGTAATCTCGCAATGGAACTTAATTTGTGCGTTCATGGAACAATGAGAAATCCCGGATTAAACGTATTCCTGAATAAAATGATTAATCCGAGTAATCACCAGTACAGCTCGCCACTTTCAAGACTACGGATACCTTTGCAGTCTACTGCAACTGCTTTTGGTCCCATTCTCCAATTTCCTAGATGTAGAGGAACTCTCTATATCTCCCTTTCGCAAACAGCAGTAGCAGCAGCAACGTAGAGGTCAGTCGAGATCGTATTGCTCGACGGGAGCCACGCAATTGCAGTTGCGGAACCGCGAAGCTCGGCGGAATTCGAACTAACGGCATTCATTCGGACTCCTTGATACGACCGAGTCGAGCAACTTACAATTATAGCGTATACACGAAATAAAGCCCCTCATCGCTTTCCACGACACGCACACTCTCCCGGGAAAACTCAATCTCTGGTCTACGTTACCGCAATCGCCACGCATTGACGATCATGGAATCCCCGCCATGACCGTCGCGTAAGCGAAATTTGGTAATAGCTTCGTATCCTCATCGAGCTGCAAAGGAATGCATGTTAATAGAATTATTGATATTCCGTTTCTACTCGCGCAGACTAACCGCGCACTATTAATCACTCATAACCAACAAAATCTGGAAACTATTCCGAATTTATTGATATTAATTGTGTATGACAAAATGTATGTGTTTTCACTTCGAATAATCACGCGCGAATACCAGAACATTTTAATACCTCTAGCATTTAATGACAAAAAACTAAGTCTCAAATAAAATATATAAATAATATATTTTGATCTCTGTGTGCAGTCCAGAAAAACTTCTGTGCACTCATTTTAATTAAAATATACACACATGTAGGATATTTTTAGATTGCAAGCTAGCTATGTGTGTATGCAAACTAGTCAACAAAGAGTTATATATACACTATCCTCAGTTTGCCCGACATTGTCATTCAATTTGATCGTTACACGGGCCACTAGCGATATAGCGAAAGCTTTAGATGCCAACTAGCTTTTCAAATTATCATTTAAACGGATTCGAATTGTCCCATGATACCCGTTGTTCATAGCTAGACTATGCTTTCGAGATTATAGGCCGCCGGGACTAAAACCATTTCTCTCACGGAATTTAATCGGATCCCGGCGGAATTCCAGACCAGTCGTCTCGAAACAAATTCACGAAACACCAACTGTATTCCAGTTTGCTTCCGAAATTCCAAGTAAACCAATATAACTCACGTGAACTCCGCAAAAAAGAAAGGAAACCCATCGTGCAGAAATGTGCGCGCGCAAATAAAATAAGGTGACAAAAAGAACGAGTACAGAAGTAACTATTTTGTCTTTTATCTATTGCATTCCTAACATTACTCGACTAACAATTTATCACGCATGTTATATTCTCGTAACTTAATAGCACTTTAATTATTTAGCCTTACAGTGTAGAGTTATTAATATATCTATTTTAACATGTCAATATATAATTCTATCTATAAAGTTAAATTAAGTCTGATAAGTGAGCTTTCTGCAGTATCAGAAGATTCTTGAAGTAAAGAACGCACTTCGACATTTTCCGTGTGAACGTAATTATGCGGCTATTCGATCCCGGCATCAAATTAATCCAGGCATTATCGGATAGCGGAAGCAACATCATGTTGCGACGTGTGAAGTTATCGATCGTAATTACCAGATTTTCCATTCAATACGCTATATCAACCGATATTGCATTACTGCATTTGTATCATCGACGGACCATTATTTGCGTCTTTTACGATTTATATTGCGTTTTCTCGCATAGTCATAGGAAACGTAACTTACACAACCCGCCGTTAAATCCGCCGTCATGGCGCCGTAAATACGTTCCATCGAAGATATTGCACTACAAGACGTATACATAGAGAAGAAGAGAGAGAGAGAGAGAGAGAGGGAGGGAGATGCAAGACGGAGTGAGAACAAAATTATTTCGCGGGCGTAATGGCGTGGATGTATCCAATAAAACAAGGAAGAAGTAGCGAGCGATCGATCGCAAGAAAACAGAGGCGCGCAAAATTTTCTCCTCAGCATGCCAAACCCCGTAAATTTCTGAAGCTATTAAGTTTATCGGTCCGGGTAAGAAGCTCCTAACTTTTATAAATGGTCGTCTTGCCTCCGGTGCAATTTACGAAAAAAAACCTCGTTCCTCATTTCACTTAATTCTGCCACAGCGCGAGCAAGCGAAAGCGGTGGGACGTCAGGTCGGATAAATCGATATACCTTGTAATAGAAAACGATTGATTCGTCTCTCACGATTGATTGTCCCCAATACTACCGTTCATCCTACTCTGCTAAAAGATATTAAAATTTCAGTAGCAATAAAACTCTGTCCCAAATACGATTATTTACTATTTAAATATTATTCTAATAATTTATGAACGAATGGATGCAATAAATTATCATGCTTACTTCCGTTATACTCGATACGTATATCATTCTTAAATATTGTAATATATCTTCTTATTATTTAGCAATATTTCGATACAATACAGTAACATTTCAGATAGATTTATTTATACACAAATACAATCATATACAATTTATATCAATCAATTGATTGCCAATAAATCACTTTTATACTCTGCTTAATGAAAAATTGATAGTAGTTCCACAAACAGACGCACGTTACGCAGTAGAACAAAAAGGACGCAGAATAGGATTTTAATGTCATATCACACGAAAAAAATCCTTTTCTGGAGCTGTACAAACTGTTAAATAATTTTACTCAGTCACGGACGCAATTTCGCCGGCAATTTCGTCCGTCAAACTCGGACTGGCTGAGACAGCGGGGGAGCGGGTTTTCTGAACTTTTTTACTCTTTCGCGTTCTATTATCAATTCCTTGGGATCTCTTACTGTCCTTCATCTTCCGGGAAAACTTGATTTTAGACTTGGCGAATGTAGTTGGCGCGGGTGTCGGCAATTTTGCAAATCGTACAGCAATGCGATTCGCGCGATCCAACTCGTCGCCAGTAGGAAGAAAGTAATGACCGCGGTATCGTCGCAGAATACCATACTCCACGCCTCGCTTCAAAGCTGCATTCACCTAATTTATTGTGGAAATTGTGTTAAGCTTAGGATAAAACGGATGCGAAAGCACAGTGCAAAGGATCAACTATCGAGTGCAATCGTCAAAGTCCGAAGTGACGCAATTACGCAATCTTCAATTTCTCTAATTAAAACACAAAGAGAATGATAATAAATTTCCAAATCTCTTCCATTAAAATATCGTTATTCAGAATGATTTGCGGAATTGACATGAACTTGGCACTCGTACGCCGCTTACATACGCATGCCTGCGACAGTGATTGACATGTAAAAATAGAAAAAGTACTAAAAAGGATTGCTGACGTTGATTTCAATTAACGCTATCGTTTTTTGTTTGAAACGACGGTTTTGCATCAATAATGTGATTGTTAAGATGTTTAACAGCATTCGGCCAATCAAAATCGCAAACATTACAGGAGTACATTAATATAATATACACACGCTGCACGCGTTATTCACAGCAAAAATTAAATAATTACAATTAAAATGGAAAATACATATAATAATTACTACTGGAACGAATATTAAAATTTTGTACAAAAATAAGATTCTAGATTCCGCTCACTTGTCGTTTAACTCGTTGTTCAGGTATGCTTGAAGCGTAACTAATGTATCCTGCGATCTTTTTAGGTGTAGAGCCCTTAGTTTCGCGAAGATCCTGTATAGCTGAGACGACTAGAGCAGCGATTTTCATAGGCTTTATAGCCCTTCTGCCCTTTCTCCCAGTTTTTGTTTCCTTCTTTGCCATTTTCGTAATAATCGTTGAAGTGCTTGCAAATTACATCAGCAATTTAACATAATATTATTATAAAGATATACGAAATAGGGTTCTCTCCCACAATATAATCGATACGAAAAATTTACTCCGCGATTGCTGTCAAAGAATTGCAGTCACTATCGATCATTTCCATCATTTGTTTCTACTATCGATTCGAAGTTACTTTCACGCGAAATAACTTTTTGAAAGCAGTCTTTGAAACTGGAAATACTAATTTTTAATCTAACTTTTGATTGGTTTCAAATTAACTTTCCTTGGATAAAAGTAATCGATCAACCATTTAAGAAATAATTGATTACTTCGTGTGTAATTCGTATAACGTATATTTAAATAATTTAACATTTTTTTTAACGTAGCTTTTTCATCAAGCTTAAATATATACGTGTGTTGGAAGTTGTCCACGCGGAAAAAAAATGTTAAATGGCGGGATAGGTTAGAGAAAAAGTAAAACGTGAAAAAGTGCCACAACTAAGAGCACAGCGTGTTACTGGGTTTAAAAAAAATGTGATGTCAGACCGCTGCATTATAACCGCGCCTATGCAATGCATAAAACTGGGATATACAAATTATCTTCTTTTTTTGTACTTTACCCGCGCCTGTATCGGCGCGTTCTGCGCATTTTCGCCCTCCTTGTCTCGTAATCAGTCAACTTTACGATAGGCATTACTTTCTTGGCGCATGAAAAAAAAAGGCAACCGTTGAATAATACATCACCACCGGCCGGATGCACTCGCATCGGGTATCAACCCCTTGAGGGTGTAAACCTCTTTTTTATAACCCTAGCCGGAGTAGAGCAAATTAGTCATCGCACAAAGGAAAAAAGAACGACGGCGTACGCGAGAACATTACTATGGTGATTGATCGTCAAATTGTTATCAGTCGCAAACGAAAGTACACAGTGCGCAATAAGCTCTGAAAAATCGGAATCGTTATGCAATCATATACGTGCCGTGATAAGCCGCACCGCTAATAACGGTGGACGATATGTTGTACCAAGAAATTCGCACGCGATCGCAAAAGCCCAGTGATATCCGCACGCAAGCACCGCATTTGCATAATAAAAAAAAACAAAAAAAATTAGAATTACTAACGACGGCGTACGGCCATGTCGGACGTTGCTCGAGAACGTATTTTTAGCTGTAATCGGCCGGTATTAATCTCCGCGAAACCACTTAATTTCACGCCGCGTTGAATCGCGCCAGTTTTTCACTTCGACCATGGTAGAGCGCTTATAATTTCAAGATTTTTAACCCCACGCAGCCCGTCCGGTTTTTTAACTGACTACACAAAAATTACTGGCAATTTTAGCCGTTATTGTTTTTACTCTATCTACTTAGAATACGTATCGAAATCTGATGTCAATGATTGTATAGCAAAATTTCGACTATCGGGCAACTACATGTTAATAAAACATTAAATTGAAATGTTTTTATATACTTTCAATTAAATTAAAACGAATTTCTGTTACAATTGCTTGTTGATTTCACGTGATTGGAAATGTAATACCACGCAATGTAAGTTGATCCCTTTTTCCGCTCTATTTGCGTACAGTTGTATTCTCTTGCTGTCGAGAACCGTAAGCGAACTAATTTCTGAACAGCCCAGTCGATTGTCGAATATTGAATATTTGGGTATCAAAAAGGCGGGTACGAAAAATGACTAGCAGTATGTATACTACCATGCTGGGAATTTAAATTTGTGACAGTAATAACCAAATCAGTTTTGAATATTGTGCGACGGGAACCAATTTGCAATACATTTAACGACAGCAGGATGAATCGGTCTGAAACGCACTATTTAAAAAGCAATAATATACGGACATCGTCAAACATTGTAATACCACCAGCGCGTATGCATTCGCGATTTATACTATTTGTTACGATCAGTTTGTCGCCGATTGGAAGTTTCATCGTGAGCAAACCGCATAAAATGAAACAACGTTAAACTTATCAAACATGAAACCGCATTAACGAAGCAGAGCATATCGCGTGATGTGATGTTTCGATGTTTTATTATCATGTACTCTTTTTGTATGTACATACATATAGGTACGCTTATTTATACATCTATATGTATGTATCAGGTGTTAAACTTAATTCCTGCCGTTTTTCGTCTCCAAAATTGATTTGTTTCGAAGGGAAGATGAATAAATACCTTAATCAAAGTAATTTCCTCCATTTTCTACTTTATTACTAATTAATAATACTTTATTAATAATACTTTGATTAAGGTATTTCCCTTCGAAACGAATCAATTTTGGAGATGAAAAACGGCAGGAATTAAGTTTAACATCTAAAATAATATGATGCGTAACAGAAAAAGTGCAACACTTTTTTCACTGGGTTTCGAAACTCAGTTTTGCTCGTAGAGCGTTTGGACATAAACGATTAGATCTATGAATAAGAACCAATTTCTCAATGAGCAAACTGCATTTCGAAATCCATCGAAAAAAAGTGTTGCAAATTTTCTGTGACCTACTGTACACATCACTTGTTCTCTCTCAAATCTTCATTCAAAATTAGAAATATATAATGATAAAGATTATAAACATTGATACTCCAGAATTTTCTATCTCTCTCTCTACAATGAAATATTAAATTAAATTAAATTTTGGTATAATTTAGGTTGCTGAATTGTTTAGAAAACAGTGAAAAATATCATATGACAATTTATGATGCTATTTAATTCGTCCGCGTAGACAGCTTCAAAGTTCTCCTATTTTACGTGGAAACACCTTCGCGAAGCAGCGCATCATAAATTAATCGTGGCATATCAAGCATGATCTAGTACATTCCCTACAGCTTTACTCCCTTCTCTCCTTTCTTCCGGCTCATGAGCGTCGATTATTATCCGCGCAATTACGTCGGCAGCTCGCGGTTAGGAAAATACCGATTCCGAACTGCTCACGGCATGCAAAGAGAAATTTATTAACAGCCATACGTGATCGCTTATGCACGCACGTAATAAGGTTTAAGCGACGTGCAGGGCGAATTAAACGAGCTGAACAGCTATCGGTGCCGACAATGCATTCGACCATGCTTTATCGTTTAATATTCTAAGTGGTCGTATAATCAAGTGACGTTACTGCACTCGTAAAATGCAACGAAGCGAGCTAATTATGGACGAGCTATGTTATGCACATAGATTTTAGCAGCAACCGTTGCTGCTTGCCAGGAAATCCACGAAATACTTTATGTCGCATTCACTAGAATAATGTACTAAAACGTAATGATATCGGAATGTATTAAAGCTCATCATATGAATATAAATCTATTCCTCGCCCCTTACTTGGTCTCGCCCTTATAAATATTAAACACTTATAGCAAGCTTCACATAAAGAAATACTATGCAAATATAATAATTAACAAAACAAACGTGGTGTGACACGGTTTTTAATCTCATAAAATTTAATATAAAAATGACTAAAAATATTTAATTTATATCAGCTAATCTTGATGTTTTGTTTACTTGCTAATCTTTTTACAAAATAATTAACTCAAAATAAAAGGTTCTTTATTTTAGAATCGATATTCCGCAAACTTGTTAAGATTATATCGTTGTATCGGCTTTCCTTCAACGTTTAGATGTTTATCGTTTTCTAGACAGTTCTGTCGATTCTCTCTCTTTCTCACTCTCCCTCTTTTCAGTATCAATATCGACTACGTTGGGAACGTACTTGATATAAAGTAAAGTAACACGACTACAAAGTTTCACCGGGAAGGCAGTTGAGATAAAGAAGGTCAATTAATCTTTCGTTCTTCAGACGGTTGTTGCCAACAGAACGAGGATCAAATGTGCGGTCATGCATTTTCTGTCATTAAAGTTAAAATCAGATAAAAGAACTGTGTGCGTGTAAAATAATGAGAAAGTGATGGAAAAGACGAAATGGAGGAGCAAATTCGTGCCCTTTGTTAATTAATTCTGCGCGAAGCGCAACGCCTGGAGTACTCGAAATCTTATCCTGTCGGAAAGATCTCGGGCGAGTTTCCTCGAAAAATCGCGGTACCCCGAAGAACTTTCAATTATAGTCGCATTCAATTACCGCGCTCTCATTTCTCTTAGCATTTGTGTAATCGCGGTTACCACAAAAGGATCTCACCGAGGAAATACGATCCTTATTGTGCGCCTTGCGCATAAATATAGCCTTAAAGAAACGTAATTTCCTCACAACGATTCCGGTTACGTTATATTGTCGTTATATACAACGCAAAATACGTTATTCAATTACTTTGCAATGGTTACACGATAAATTTCAAAATCGACAGAAGTCTGACGTGGAAGCTGAACATAGAGCTTTATGAGATATATCATCCGGCTTTCTTGGACACATTGCCGTAACCAGCGAATGAATGTAATTTGCGAGCGAAATGATTAATAGCCGTCATAGCGACTAGGTAAACTACTAGCGATGCTCTTCTTCGGCTTTCCTATGAATGGATTACACACATAAGCGATAGAGGGACTGAGCTTTTGAGCTTGCGTTAGGAAAGTTTCGAGAACCACTGCGTTAAATGGGATCCTCTGTGAAGGGTTATGCGTGATATGCGCCCCTATTAGACATAGGCCCGCACGTGCGCCGCAGAGTTGGAAATGATCGATCCAGAAACAAGCAGATCGGACGAAAGCCAGCAGACTTGCAGACCGAACACTTTAGTCAGTATGCGGAGTGGAATGGCGGATGGCGCATCGTGGAAATTACCGGCGTTCCGATGCATCATTGCAGGATTGTGCAGTTTCCGCACAAGGCCGTAACCGCCGATCGGACCTTCCCGAATGCAATTGATCCATAACCAATGGCTGCACTCACGCTAATACCGTAACACTCGTACGTCACTAACGTCTGTAACTCCAGCATTATGCAGTAATTTCGACCGCTCCGCGCACGAAATCATCTTCGATGACTTTAAATTATTCAGATTTCCGTATTAACCCTCGCATTACAAATATAAGTCCATTATGTGTCCCGTTCGCAATCTACAAACCCGTTATCTCCATTTCCACGTCATTAAATGCAACACGAATGTTATCGTATCTCTCTAATTATTTTTTTTTTACAATCTCACACAAACAATACCAGGTCAATAACACCACTGTGTCATTTATCGAGGCTTATCAAAAA